TCTCCATTTGTTGGAGCTCTTGTTGGTTTGATTCTAAAGTTGATGAAGTTTTCGTTTTGCCTACCTACTACCTTATCCACTTGTGTGTATTTTTCAACACTCACCTCATTCAAGCCCAACAATCTCCGCTTCTCCATTTGATAATCCTTTCATTTCTCCATGCACTTACTGCTTCCTCAGTTTCTACACAAGCCATTCTGTTGCTTTTGAGGACTTGGGCTTCTATGGATGCCCTTATTCCTTTGGGTCAGGCACATAGGCATTCTCTTCAGTGGACACTACACAGCCAATGGAATCTTGCTCGGGATTTCTTGGTCTCTCCCAGTTATCCTTCTTCTTTCCCTTACAGAATATCTACATTGGTGGTTGAACAAGGACACCACAACATAAGGAGTACTGCTTCTTCCACCTAGTCTGGATTTGCATTGGATCACAGATACTTCTCTCCATGGTTGGGGTGTGTGGTCCATCATCAAGAGACTTTTGGGCAATGATCTCAGATTGTAATGTCTTACCTTTTTGGAACATCTTGGAGCTTATGTTGGGATGATGTGCTTTGGTTCATTTTCTTCCTGTGGTACAGTACCAACACATCATGCTCCATTCCGACAATTCCACCATGGTAGTATATTTCAATCATCATGAGGCACCTGTTCCCTCTGTGGTCAAACATTGAACCTCCTTTGTTGGGCCCACAAGCTACAGATAAGTCTCCTTGTGTGTCATGGTGTTTTTCACCTTGTGGTGGATGGTATTTCAAGACCCAACCAATGTTATCCCATGGAGTGGTTTCTCAACCCTTAGGTTTTCAGGTGGCTATGCAATCAGTGGAGTACTTTTCATGTAGATACTTTTGCCACTTTACTCTTAACACCAAGCTACCTCTTTTTATTGGGTCTTTGGTTCCTCAGGCCCTGGCAGTGGATTTTCTCCATCAGATCGGGACCAACCAGTTCCATTTATAGACATCTTCATTGGGTGGTTCTTCTAGTTTGTCATCCCAATATTGTCCTTCTCTGCCTTCCAATCCCTCAGTTTAAACCTTTGTTCTCATGTTGCACTTGTCTGTTAAGACTTATCCCTACTCATTTTAGTTAGTAGGCGGTGTCTGTCTGAAATCTTTACCATTGATGTTTCACGTTGTTGTTTTTTTTCCACTCCACATATGTTCTCCTTTATCTCAAACAATCTTTCCTAATTAAAATTTGGATGGCATGTAAGGGTCATTTTTCCTTCACACCATTTTCTCTTCCATCCATTTCCCACCTTTATTCCTGGTCAGCTCTGGATATATTTCAGTGTTCAGTATGTGCTCTTTGTTGTTCCATTGCCTTTAGTGGTTCTCATTTCCACCTTTTCTATGTGACTCTTCTCCTTTTACCTTTACAAGCTGAGGTCATCGACTGTTTCAATTGGTCTATTCTTTCCTGTATCTTTCTTCCTAAATTCTGTTCCAGGTGTTTTCACATAAGATCGGTCCCCTTCCCTTTTTCCTGGAGTCTCACATATGCCACCCATTGGAGGAAACTCTTCAGTTAGCCATGTGGCTAACACCTCATAAGTTCATCTTCCACTATCTTCATTGGATAGTTATTTTTTGCTCGTCGAGGTACCGCCTCCTGCCTGTTGCCATCCTTCAAACTTCAGTGTGAGTTATCTTTTTCATATGTATTTTTTACTCCAGGGGCATGTCTCATTTAGGATTCACATTCCATTCAGTAGCAATCATTGCCTGTCCACATACGCTTCTTTTGTCTCAAATCTGCACTGTACAGCTAAGATGTATACCCATGGCCAATAATGCACACTGTTGAGATGGGATGTTCCACAAGTACATTAGTAGGTTTTTTCCTCACAATATATTTACTTCATTAATATAACAGATTCAAACCATACTAACTCATAGACTTACATGGGTAAAGCAGAAGGGTATAGCTTTCCAACCCTGCCATTTCTTCAGTTGAATAAATCAGGGGTGGTCTACTTTTAAATATAGGGTTTATGTGGTCACCTGTTGCACTGTCTCCAGTGTTGGCATACCTCCAGATTCTCCACCACATTCTATCCCCCCTTTTCTTCAAGTGTAGTATGGGAATCCTAGCCACTTTCCAGTTTTGAGCTGCAAACAATATACATGCAATAAAGTACATTCTCCAAACAGCTTACAAGTTTGCAATTTTTACATGCCTGTTTTTGGAAAGTTTTGACAAAAAAGAACATTCTTTTCTTCTGTTGAATTAATTTACCACAATTTCCATCCCTTACTCCACTGCTGTGCCTGTGATTCTTTTTTTCCTTTCTCCCTGACCCAATGGTGATTTTATTGGCTTTTATTCCTTGTATCCTTCTTCCCATCATCAATTCCTGATGTCTTCACTCCAATCATGCTCCTTCCCTTTTCCCTGCATATCAAACATGTTGTCTGTTGGAGGTACTTCATCTGTCAAGCATGTGGACTACATCTCATATGTTCATCTCCCATTCCCTACTTTGAGTAGATGTTTCTTCTTTGTTGGGATGTCATCATCCACCTGTTGCCATCCTTCATTCTTTCACGAGACTGTGACTGAGTAAGTTACCTTTTAGTGTATATATATATTATTTTTCAGTGGCATGTCCCTCTTTTTTTTTTTATGTATCCAGATCTGTGGCGGGTGGTGCCTGTCCAGGTATACTTAAACTAGTAAAAAACCACACTGTAAGGCCATGATGACTTAACAATTATAATTCCATGGCCACTAAACACACACTGCTGAGATGAGGTGTTCCATAAGATCGTTTGTAGGTTTATTCTTGTGATATATTTGCTTTGTTAGTTTTGGATTGTATTTTACTTACCAACGATATGATCCCCATCCTACCCTCACATTGATGTCGGTTCCCAGAGGGCTGGGTTTTGGATAAAGTTGACATGCCATGTACGGTCCATCATACCCTAGCCACTCTACACCTGGAGGCACATCCTTTTACTCTCACCCATATTTATGTATTATGGGGTTGAGATTAATGTATAGTGTGGTTCAGAACACTCTCCAACCAAAGTACTCTCCCTATTGGATGTGCTACTCCCCATTTCCATTCATATCTGCAGTACATTTTTCAACACTGGGCAAAGAGTAAACCTGGTACAGAAGTGGTACAGTCTCCCACTTATGATCTTTGAATCTGAAGATCTCTTTGGAATGTCCTTCAGATGCTTTTGAGGGATAGTTCTTTTTTTTCCTTCACACTGGTCTCTCCACCTTTTCAGTATGGGATTCTAGCTATTTATGTGAGCGAAGATAATGTACCATATCGGAAGTTAAAATTTTCCTATCCTGAAAATGTATTTCTGATAGGTACTTACCTTCTCTCATACTTCTCACCTTTCCTCCCCACTGAAAACCGGTGCTTCCATTTTCTGCCTACACTTGAAGGGATAGTTCAGTAAAATTGAATAGAGGGAGTTACATACGTCAAGAGAGTATGTCACACTCTTATTGGCAGAGGATTGTCGGATGATGATTTGCATAGGAGATGCATTGGAATCAGTCAATTCCAGATGGGTGGGAGCATCAGGGCTTGTGGAAATACATTTTCAGAATAGGAAAATTATAACTTTTAGTTACCTGTTACTTAATTTGACCATGTGTATGGGAGTATGACTTTGTTTTTCATACTAAGTACTGTAACAGCTCTTGGCTTATTAGCTTATAAGATTTTATATTGCAAAATTTATTGAAACAATTGACTGTTCTGTGTTTGTGTGTGAGAATTGGTATCAAACTAATTATAATTACATTATTGTGGTTGGCATTTAGTTTTCAGTTGTCACTTGTTGTTTGAAAAGATTATATACAAATTTACTTATATTGATTACCCAGACTGTGAATCTGAAAATTCATTGTTTACATCCCATTGCTGCAAAAAATGTACTACACATTTTGGAACTACAGGTGCACTGTAAAATAAATAGTCAAATCCTTTTTTTTGGGGGGGGGGGGGCAACAAGAGCAGCCCAAGAATTGGTGGTGGCTGCTTTTGATTATCTGCCTTCCCTGCAGTTTCTCAATTCAAATTAGAGATGACTGTGTGAAGATAGTTCTATCTATAGCTTTCTGTAAAACTTCTAAAAAAAATTGTACTGGTTGCACATTTTATAAGGAAATGAATAACAAAACAGTAATATAATGTATATAGGTTGCTAGTTTCTTATGATTTTTTTGTCCTTTTTTTGTAACTTCAATGAATGTTTATTTTTAGACGTAATCTACTATATAGAAATTAATGTTTATGAGTGCATTAGTAAGTTGTGTATATCTTAGGAACCAAAAATGTTTTCTATACACTTTATAAGCAGTTATATGCTCCATTTTTCTTTACTTTTATTAGTATTATTGCTTAATTTTAAACGAACAAGCTGTTTTAATCCTCTAAATACAACAACAAATAATAAATATGAATTTATAGGTTAAATCTGTGTCATTAATTATAAAAATTAGACTTCACTTAATGAATTAGCTTATCTATCTTAGAATGCCTCTAGTGGCACAACAGTAAGTCTGTGGACTTATAATGCTAAAAATTGTGTTTCTATACCTGTGATGGGCACAGCACAGATGACCCATTATGTAGCTTTGTGCTTAACTACAAACCAAAAACTATTTTTGAAATAAAAATTTGTCACAATTGGTCAATTAAAAATGTGTGTATGTACAGAAAAGGTGTATGAAAGATATTAATTTGCCCTATCATTGACAGATATAGAAAACGGCTTGTTCGGTATCACCCTATAAATATAAGTTACTGTGCTATAGTTTAGCAAAAAAGTCATCAGTAGTAACACATGCAAAAAATAAACAAAAGCAAACTTAATGATGTACTCTCAGCTAAATACATAACAGTAATCAGGACATTTTTATGATAATAGATATAATTTATGCATGTCATTGGAAAGGTAAACAAAATTAGTTTTAGTTGAGTTTTCATGACTTAAATATTTTTTTGGGGCTTGTATTTAGTATGGCTCTGCTATAAACATGTCCTCCTTCATACCCAAAAACCTGGTCAGTCAGCACCATTGTCCATTGTGACTGCTCTTGTGGACAAAATTAGTCTAAGTGGACACACCATCTATCCAGATGAAGATATCAAGATGAGTGGCCATGTCTCATGGGTTGGAAAAACATCTTTAGAAACCAGTATGCAACTTGAGCAGGTAATGTTGTAACCCCACAAGTTGACCAATGACCATTAAGTTGTTACAAAGATGTATATATGATGGGATTAAGCTAGATTTGAAATGATTCTATAGAAAATTTAGAAAGTTGCACAGTAAATTTGTCTATAGTTTGTTAAAAATCCTAAAACAAAAAGTATAAAAAGCTTTAAGAGAAAAGCAAGTGAAATTATTCTATTAAGCAAATTACTGTCAATGTTAAGAAATCTGTATTTCACAAAAATATTCACCATTTTCTTCTTTTTCTATAAATCTTTAATTAAAACTTTTTTGTATCTTCATTTATCTAGTGAATAATTGACTATGTTTTCTTTTTTAATTTCACAGCTTGAAAATTAAATTCTGTGTTCTGGCTGTCTTTTAAAAAAATGCAAGAAAAGTCTCACTTTGTGTAGACAATTACATGTAATATGAGTAATACAAAGAGAACATTTTGCTGTGAACAAGTGTAAATGTTTTCTAGCTTTAACATTTTTATTATGAAAATATAATGAACATCTTACATTTCACTTATAATCAACATAATGTTCATTATAACTTATTTTATGGACACCATTTAATAGTTTAAGCAAAAAACATTTTTTATGTGTTTTAATGTATTTAAAGTCTTTGGTTTTCTAGAACTTTATCAGACAGCATTATTAGTAACAACACTTATGGCAGGTTCAAAGCACTTTAAGACAATTAGAATTTAAACAGATTATGATATATGTGTGTATTTTACCTAAGAAAAAGTAGTTTTCTATTTCATGTAAGATGAAGTGAAATATTTGATGTTCTTTATATATTAAATATGTAAGATGCAAAATCTGAATTATTAGATTTGAAAAATCAATATTATGCTTTAATCATCATAATTTAACATTTTAGAATTTTCAGTGTTAGAAATAATTAATCACTACTGTTGAGTTCTGGTTTTCTAAGTAGAATAGTAATGGTTTCCAATGTGCATAGGCTACTTTCTGTTCTGGCTTGTAAAATAATTTAGTATTACTGGTTGGATGGCTGAATATCACTACACTCTGATGTTCTTTGTTTTCTTGTTAAAGCCACTGACAGTGGAACTAGAGTACTCAAGTTTTCATGTGTAGAGATATTCTAAAGAGTACTTATGTGAAAAGTCAATTTTGTTTTTGAAGGGAAACATAATCATTAGTCTATGTTGTGTTTTAAAGATACAGTTAACTTATACCTTTGGATAATTTCTGTGAAGCATTTTCTTAATTTTGTTTTATGTTATAGGATTGTTTACCCATAAACTGTAAAAACATGTTCTTTTTTCTCATATCAAATGTCACAGTAGAGAGGCCATTCATTATTTCCAACATGTTTGATAACCTTACCATGCAGAGTTATAAGGAAGGCAATATTTAATGTTATTCAATTCACATTAGAAACCATTGCCATTTGATTTAGAAAATCAGCACTCAACACCAGTGAGCAGGCTCTAACTCCAAAACTTAAACTCTAACACTTGTAGCCTTCAGTGTATGATCTGACTAGTCACTACAGTATTTTGATGTCATAAATGTTACTGTCTAAATTATTTATGAGTTGAATGATATGTGTTTTAGATTGTAAACCTAATTTGCCAGCATCGCTTTTCAGATTTTATTCCATAAAACCATAATCTTTGTTATTCAGCAGCTTTTGTA